GTCGGGGAGCGGGCTTCGACGCATCCGAGCGGGGTCATCCCTGCACGCGTGCCAGTCGACCCGCCACGCTGCCCCTCCGGGGGATGTCTGTGGTTCACATGACCCCGTTGCTCACTTCCTGGAAGCCTGGCTTGTGCTTCCCGGGATATCCCGCTGGGTCATCAGAACGATCAGATTCGGCTACGCGATTCAGTTCGCACGGTCTCCTCCCCGCTTCAGGGGAGTTCGCTCCACGATAGTGGTGGCAATGCCCCACTCCTGAGAGCGGAGATTGCGACCCTGCTGGCGAAGGGTGCAATCGAGACGGTCCCTCCAGCCGAGGTGGAGTCCGGTTTTTACAGCCCCTACTTCATTGTCCCCAAGAAGACCGGTGGGTTACGACCGATCCTGGACCTGCGCATTTTGAACCGTTCTCTCCATCGACTACCGTTTCAAAATGCTCACGGCCAAACGCATTTTCGAATGTGTTCGGTATCAGGATTGGTTTGCAGCGATCGACCTGAAGGACGCGTACTTCCATGTGTCCATCTTACCTCGACACAGACCGTTTCTTCGGTTTGCCTTCGAGGGCCAGGCATATCAGTACGCCGTTCTCCCATTCGGGGTTAGCTCTGTCCCCTCGCGTCTTCACGAAGATCGTCGAGGCAGCCCTTGTTCCCCTTCGCGAACACGGGTTCGCATCCTGAATTATCTCGACGACTGGCTGATACTAGCACACTCTCGAGCTCAGCTTTGCGAACACAGAGACTTGGTGCTCCGGCACCTAGCCCGTTTGGGCCTTCGGGTCAACCGGGAAAGAGCAAACTTTGCCCCGTGCAGAGGATCTCTTTTCTCGGCATGGAGATAGACTCGGTCGCCATGTCCGCGCAGCTCACGAACGAGCGCGCGCACTCACTGCTGACTTGTCTTCGACAGTTCGAGGGCAAGAGTGCGGTTCCACTGAAACTATTTCAGAGGCTCCTGGGGCATATGGCATCCGCGGCAACGCCGCTCGGTTTGCTTCATATGAGACCGCTTCAGCTGTGGCTTCGCGATCGAGTCCCGAGGTGGGCATGGCATCGCGGCTCGCTCCGAGTTCCAGTGACTCCAGCGTGCCGCCGAACCTTCTTCCCGTGGTCGAACCTCAGCTTCTTACGGACCGGCGTCCCTATTCAGCGAGTTTCCAGGCATCTCGTTGTCTCCACGGATGCATCTACCACGGGTTGGGGTGCCATGTGCAATGGGCATGCAGCCGCCGGTTCCTGGACAGGAGCCCAGCGCCTCATGCACATCAATTGCCTCGAGCTGTTGGCAGTACGGCTCGCCCTACACCGCTTCCGAGCGTTGCTCAAGGGCCAGCATGTGCTTGTCCGCTCAGACAACACTACGGCAGTAGCGTACATCAACCACCAGGGGGGTCTACGCTCACGCCAGTTGTCGCAGCTCGCCCGCCACCTCTTGATATGGAGTCAGAAGCACCTGAGGTCCCTTCGTGCAGTTTACATTCCTGGAGACCGGAACTGGGCAGCCGACGAGCTGTCCCGGGTCCGCCCCATCTCCGGCGAATGGCGACTCCATCCCCAGTCGGTCCAGCTGATTTGGGACGAGTTCGGGGAGGCACAGATAGACCTGTTCGCCTCTCGGGACTCGTCCCACTGCGCCCAGCTTATTCTCTGACCCGCGGCACTCTCGGCTCGGATGCGCTGGCGCACAGCTGGCCACGGGGCCCACGCAAGTATGCGTTTCCCCCAGTGAGCCTCCTTGCACGGGTGTTGTGCAAGATCAAGGAGGACGAGGAGCAGGTCTTGCTGGTAGCCCCCTACTGGCCCACCAAGACGTGGTTCTCCGATCTCTTGCTCCTCGCGACAGCACCTCCTTGGCCTATTCCTCTGAGACAAGATACTCTCTCAGAGACGGGGCACTCTGTGGCACCCTCGTCCCGATCTTGGAGGCTGCACGTGTGGCTCCTGGACGGCACGAGGCAGGTTTGAGTTCGCTGCCACCTGCGGTGGCGGCAACCATCACTTCCGCAAGAGCGTCGTCCACGAGACACCTTTATGCGTTGAAGTGGAACCTCTTCGTCAATTGGTGCTCTTCTCGCGGAGAAGACCCCCGGAGATGTTCGATCAGTGTCGTGCTTTCCTTCCTGCAAGAAGGGTTGGAGCGCAGGCTGTCGCCCTCCACCCTTAAGGTTTACGTCGCGGCCATTGCCGCTTCTCATGAAGCAGTGGAAGGTAAGTCCTTAGGGAAGCACGACCTGGTCATCAGGTTCCTGAGGGGAGCGAGGAGGCTGCATCCGCCTCGTCCTCCCCTCGTACCCTCTTGGGACCTCTCGGTAGTTTTAAGTGCTCTGCAGAGGCATCCCGTTGAGCCTTTGCAATCGGTAGAGTTAAGTTTCTGTCCATGAGACAGCACTCCTGGTTGCATTGGCCTCCATCAAGAGGGTGGGGGACCTGCACGCATTCTCCGTTGACGAAGCGTGCCTGGAGTTCGGGCCGGCTTACTCTCACGTGATCCTGAGACCCCGGCCTGGATATGTGCCCAAGGTTCCCACCACTCCCTTCCGGGACCAGGTGGTGAACCTGCAAGCGCTGCCCCGGAGGAGGCAGACCCAGCCTTGGCACTGCTCTGTCCGGTACGTGCTCTCCGCACCTATGTCGACAGAACGCAGTGTTTCAGGACCTCAGACCAGCTCTTTGTCTGTCATGGAGGGAGCCAGAAGGGAAGGGCTCTCTCAAAGCAACGGCTGTCCCACTGGATTGTGGATGCCATTGCTTTGTCTTACCAGCAGCAAGGCCTTCCGTGCCCCCTTGGTGTGACGGCCCATTCCACTCGGAGTGTGGCCTCCTCTTGGGCTTTAGCGCACGGCGCCTCGCTAACAGACATCTGCAGAGCTGCAGGCTGGGCGACACCCAACACCTTCGCCAGATTCTATAATCTGCGAATTGAGCCGGTATCCTCTCTCGTACTCGTTTCGGCCAGTTCTGGATCCGCTCAGGTGTCTTCGCTTGCTCGCCACTCCACTCCCCGGACTGGATAAGTGCGATATTTCCTCAGTTCTTCCATTGAAGCCTTGAGTCCTCCAGCACCGACGATGCGGGCACCACTGCTGTGGCTCTGGATGCTGGCTAGGTGCCTCCATGCGTACGGTTCCCCCTTGGTAACCGTCTCATGTGTATTATCCACTGTAAGCCTCTCTGAGCATGTGTCTTCCCTTGGCAAGCCATCTGCCACCCCTGGAGCTGAAATTAGTAGCCACCTGCGGTTGGTGCTCCAGTGATTCCATATGTGTTCCTATGTGGCCATATGTGTATTCGTAAGTCCTCCCTTCGGTAGGCAGCTGGTAGCATGTCCCCTTCGGGATATGTTTCCCAGTGTACCTTGGTAATCCTGTGTCTAAGTCGGATCCCCTAAGGAAAACAGGTAAGGCTCGGGGGTTCAGACTTTCGCAGGGCACTGGAAGACAGCCTGAAGTTGGCGTGATGGCACAGACCCCCAATCTCCGTCACTTCTGACGTAACTCGAAGTGACTACGAAAGGGAACGTCTCGGTTACGTATGTAACCCTCGTTCCCTGAGTAGGGAACGGAGACGTTACGTCTCCCTGCCACTTCTGCTGTATCGCTGGGTAGACGCCGAGTTCAGTCTTGGCTCCTCAGCGAAGACATACTGCGGTTGCGTTCACTTCCTCCTTTTATACTCACGGAGTAGGGCGGAGTACGCTATGCAAATTTCCGCAGCCCCAAGGCATTGCATGCCATTGGCTCGTGTTTAAATACTCGAAGAGGATTGGCTTTCTATGCGAAACCCCCAATCTCCGTCACTTCTGACGTAACGTCTCCGTTCCCTACTCAGGGAACAAGGGTTACATACGTAACCGAGACGTTCAATCAGGCTGCCAGTTTTCCTCTGGCCAACGAATGAATGAACACAAGGTGTCATTATGATTCAGACTGGATCAGAAATCAGAATATGGATCGGTAGCATTCAAATCCAATTCATTTTGCTTTAAGATCGGATTCATTACAAAGTTGGTCATAGGTGTGTGCAGAAGATCTGTTTGCTTCTTGTGTCAACATTCATTCACTATATGTTCTATATAGATTGTTCCGCTTCTAGTTTGTCCTGCAATCTAGAATTGTTTTGATTGTAAGTTTCATCTAGATTTTTTTTTAAACTCACTTTTAAGAAAAAAATACTGAAAAACATTAAAACAAGGGTCAATTATGTAATCAAAAGTAGCCAAACACAACTTACCCATTGACACATATTACCTCCATTCTGCCCTTTACATATGAATGGTGGCCAGTACACTCTGGTGTTTTCTTTATTGTAGAAACCTTTTTAACTTTTAGCTAAAGCTTTTCCAGTTACAGTTGTTGACGTTTAATTTTTAAAGTGTGGGACATCATTTTCCCACATACTGTATAATGATTTATGATATATTCTATTGTGTAAAAAATGTTGTTGTGTGTTCATTGGCCATTCAGACCTGTGTGTTCAGAGAATAGGGCTTGTAGCCTCTAGAGCAGGCAGCCATTGAGGTTCACCAGTTTCCATAGCAATGCTTTTGTCTAACAAGTAAAACCTAGATGGTACCAAAATAGGGTCTCAGTGACTAGTGTAAAAAAGTTGTCAGGTGCTGTCCACATTTGTCACTTGTGCTAGAATGGAAAAGAAGAGAAAATTGGATACCTGCAATGCATTTCTGAATGATCCAGGGTCAAGTGATCTCCTTTGGGATGGTTTGCTCTGTGTTGTGATGACAGATCTGTCTGTCTTTTTGCCTCTCCAGATTATTTAACATATACAGCATATGTATTGGTCGTGTAGTCGTAACACAAGTGAAAATGGTGAGTTTTTCTTTTTTTTAATTACATTGGATAAAATTTGATAATTGTGGGGTAAAATACTACAAGCTTTAAACATTATGTTTAAAAAGTGTGATAATATATGACATGTAGAATTTTACTTTAAAATGGGGGTTTGAATTAGTTTTATTTAAAATTAGAAATAGAAATCATTGAAAAAAATCAGTCCGCAGGCATGTGCCATTACAATACATTAATGAAAAGTTTTGTAACTGAGAATTGTTTTTATTTTGGTATTAGACTGGAGGTTATGAAGTGGAGCAGTTTGTGGATACCCCAGATGATGATCTGATTTGTGTCATCTGTAGAGCCGTTCTACGCTGCCCTGTACGACTCAAATGCAACCATGTCTTCTGCAAGGAATGCATTTTGCAGTGGATGAAAAGGTAACAATTTTGAATATTTTATAATAAGACAAACCAGATTAGATGAGGCTGGGAAGTGTTGTAAAAGGATTTCAAGAACAACAAAATAAAAATAAATAACAAAAAAATTTACATTTCCCATCTGGGTTATAATTTGATTTAAAACTTAATTGGCATAACTGGTATTGTCGGATTTAGCCGGTTTTCTTGTTCAATTTGAAATACACAAGCTTTTTACATCTGCCTGTTTAAAAAAATATCATGACTAAACAGATGGGATGGCTAAACACTTTCCAGTAAAAGCAAGTTTTTGAAAGAAGTCTCACCAAGACTGCATTTATTTGATCAAAAATGCCATTAAAACTGTAATGTTTTGAAACATTATTACATTTTAAAACAAGTGTATTCATATATTTTAAAATGTAATTTATTCCTGTGATCAAAGCTGAATTTTCAGCATCATTACTCCAGTCTTCAGTGTCACATGATCCTTCAGAAATCATTTCCTGCTCAAGATAAACATTGATAAAATATATCCGCGTAATATTTTATATAATATCATTGTATAATAATCGCATGCTTAATATTTTATATTAAATAGGGCTGTGCAAAGATTAATTGCGATTAATCGCATTCAAAATAAATGTTTGTGTTTAGATATGTGTGCTGTATAATTATTTTGTATATACAGTATAAATACATATGCATTCATGTATATTTAAGAATTATTTGCACGTAAATACTGTATATATATTCTATATAAATATTTTATATATGAATAACACATTTTCTTAAATATATACATGCATGTGTGTGCATTTATATATACAAAATAATTATACACAGTTCACACACATATATTATGTACATAAACACAAACTTTTATCGCAATTAATCTTTGCACAGCCCTAATATTAAGATTACAATTTTATAGAATATTATTTTCTTTTATAATGGTTGTGTTGATTATTTTATAATTAGATAATATAATATTTTTACATCTCAAGCTTATTATCTTTGTGTGCATTCTGTGCATTTTTTCAGGATTCTTTGATGAACAGAAGGTTCAAAATAGGATTTATTTGATTTTTGGGACAAAAAGACAAATCTGTAGTGGCACTTTTTTAATCAATTTAATGTGTCCCTGCTGAAAAAAAAATGATCCCAAACTTTTGAAAACTAGAGTACTGCACTTCTGCTTTGGATGTTTGAGCAAATGTTGTTGTTTCAGACAGGTGAAATGCCCTTGCTGCAGGCAGCCTATTGACCAGAACCAAATGCTGGTTTTGTTTAAGCTGAGTAAATCCATTGGCCGTTTACCAATCAAGGTAGGCGACATTTTTAAATCTCAAGTTGTGTCTCATGCTTAAACTGTAAATGTGGAACACTGTGTTTCTAGTGTCGAAATGCACAGCAAGGCTGCCGAACCACTTTCCCGCTCTCGAACGAGTACCTCCACATCTCCAACTGTCCGTACGAGTGGCAGCTCTGTCCTCATGAAGGCTGTGGGCAGCAGGTGCTGAGGAAAGATGCGCAGGCACACGACCAGAGCTGTAGCCACTGGCGACAGCTGTGTCCCATGGGCTGCGGGACGCTTCTCGTCCGAGAGAACCAGGCCCGACACAACTGCTACCGAGAGCTACGGCAGCACTACGTGTCCGAGCGGAGGAAGCAGAGGGCCATCGCTGCCAACCTACGCAGGAAGATGCAGCGCATGCAGAGCCGGATGGCACAAATAAGAAGGCAGATCAATCTTTTGTGCGAGAGCCTGGAGGTCGACGATCTGGAAATTGAAGCAGGAGAGGGAACCAGCACATGGATGGACGCTAGTGCCGCCAGTCCAAGCAGCAGCAGACACCATCACACCAACAGTTCAAGAGTCAGATTTACATGACGGAAATATCCTTCAGGATTCAAAAAAAAGCATTCGAGTTAGTTTTTTGTATGTGCGAGTTTCATTAAATGTATCTTTCCCTTTTTGTAATCATCTGGGATAGTTCACCAAAAAACGTTTACCCGCATTCATGTCATTCCAAACTTGTATGACTTTCTTTCTCCAGAAGATATTTTGAAGACGTTTCAACTGTACATAGTACATACAATGAAACACAAACACTGCAAAATAAAAATAAAAATATTTTTTGTGATCTGCAGATTGCAGAGTAAAGAAAGTCATACATGTTTAAAAACATGAGGTTAAGTATATGATGACAGAATCCCTTTAAGGGCGGCACAGCCAACCGAATTTACAGATTTATTGTTTGTATATAGAGAAAAGTACGATAAACAGAAAAGGTTGATGCTAATTACCAAATATTACAAAGAAAAAACAATTACTGTAACATTCAAATGCCTGCTTAAGTTATTACAGATATTACAATCTTGAAGTGACACTTGACAAGAAAATGTCAAATCGTACAAAAACTGTCTTTGATACTAGGCCTATATATTAATTCATAATGTAAAAAGCAAACACTCGTGGAACATGTATGTAAGACTTTTTTCAAAACGAGTTTGAATGAATGTAAAAATGAATGATTTAATAAATTCTTTATTATTTACTATTTACTTGTTACTAATGCTTATATGTCTAATTTAAGCTATTGTGGATGTTCAACAAATAACCAGTTGTCCTTAAGACATAAACACAATAAAGTAATAAAATGATTTAAACACACATTAAGCCAATGGTATGATAGGAAAACTGTTTTGGGTTTCAAGGAAATGGGAATGTATGATAATGGGAGATAATAAATTACGAGAGAGCATGTGTGGGATGTTTAAATGAAGCTGATTACAAAGGAGTGAGTTCCTGAAACCGGCGTATTGACATGTCTGTCCACAAGGAGGCACTACTGTAGTTCTGCAGAATGTTCCAGATCACACCTGTCAGTGGAGGCCACAGAGGAATGCTGGGACAGCTTTACAGGGTGTTGTTGTGAAGCTGTCGGGTTGTCCAGCCCAGAGTGCATTAGCGGCAGGTAAATGTCATCCATGTTGGGCAAAACAAAAACTTCCTGGAATAATTATTAGGAAAAGATTTGTTATGGAGGTTAATTCAAATGTTTTAAAGTACATCATTTAACTATCAAATAAAAAGAGGACATATACAGTACTTAACATGTTTGGTAAGTTTCTAGTGAGGCTATCACAATCTCATTAAAACAAACCTGAAACTCATCTTGTAGTTTCTTTTCAATCCATTCTGTCACATGAAAGAAAGTCACTTCTCGCTCTCCCAGTTTGGGTCTGACTCTTAGGTCAAGTTTCGGGGGTCCGCAAAAACCATACCTAAAAGAGAAACAACAAAACACTTATTATTCTGGTGCATATATCCAAAGACATGTCTGCAAACCTGAATGCGCAAAAATCACTTCAATATTACATAAAAAAAATTTAACAAACTTAATTCACTTTGTAATAATATCAAATTAACAGTTTTACTTTAAAGTACATTTTAAATGGGTCCTTATGCCCTTTTACAAAGTTTTGATTTTGTTTTTGGACTGTATTAGAATATGCTTTCATGCTTGATTGTTAAAAAAAAACAAGAATTTATTAGAAGTCGTGTCACGTGTCTGAAACCTCGCGAAGGTACGTCACTGAAGATCGTGTAATGACGTAGGGCTAAGTTCATTGGTCGCACCTCTGAGACGCCCCCACGCCATTGGATGTGCAGTTGCCTCAGCACAGCCAATGAGCGAGCCAGATGCTCAATGTTTTAGCATGTGGAGCTGCAAATGCGTTTGCTTCAGTAAATCGAGGAAAAGGAGTTTCCCTGCACATTAAAATTAAATTAGATAAAACACTAGATAAAATTCACAGGAGGAAAAAGTTCACGTGGCCGTCATTAGATTTGGAGAAGTCACTCAAAAGGTTTTTTTTACTGTAGCTTCAGTCAACTTTAGTGAAGCGGTGGTTTATGGGAGGAGTAGTTCCTTTGCTCAGAAATGAAAATATGTACCCTTGACTTTTTTTGGATTTTCTCTTCGTTTTTTCACTCGAAATGATATGTTGTATGCTTATGAGTTCAGCCGTAGCTGGTTATCCTCAGACATGCTCTAATACTCTTTAGATATGAATTTTACTAAATGTCAGTGGGAGAAATGAATGCGAAATTTACTTCCGGCACCAATGCTTTCTCGGGCTGTGGGCGGGACTCTGATGCTCTATGCACAGTTTATTTCCTGTTTCTACATTTTAGACAAAGTTATACACCTTTTAATCATGATACTTGTCGGTTAAACTATGGCGATAATACAAACAGTTATCGATCACAAAATCAGGGTCAATTTTCCTGAAAATGAACAACCTTACAAAAGCAAGACCTTACAAAAACTACAGTAAACACTATATCAACACTACTTTTAGCTCGCAGACAAGTGGACTGCGAAGGCAAACAGTTTTGCCCTTTTGCTTACATTGTAGCAACAACATAAAACTTATAACTGGCGCAATTAGAAATAAAAAGATAATACTAACAAGTTACATACACACAAACAACAGAATGTCCTGATAAAGTGGTTCAGGAACAGAGTTTAAAATAAATTTTACCCTTTCTAAGTTCATCAGCCTAAGGAAGGTCAACTAATAGAGTTTTGGAAACGAGGTGGACAAAACAGTGTCTCTTTACCATAGCAGCAGATCAACCAGGCCTTCCTTGTTTTGCATATTCCATGGGTGTGGATTATTTAAAGGAGAACTCCGGTGCAAAATGAACATTTGGTCTAATTACACATTGTTACCTAGTCAACCATTATCTGAGATTTGTTTTCATGATTGCCGAATGTAAATAGTTCTATCTCTAAAAACAGTTTAGCCTATAACGCTAGTATAACGCTTATAGGGCATAGAGTAATGATGACAAATAAAAATCGCTTGTTATTACCACTAACAAGGCTCAAAATAGCCCCACAGTAACACGGTAGCATAATAAGAGTCCCTACATTCAAACCGAAGCATTGAGAACTTTGTCAGTGTCCATACAGTTTAATAAGAATATATTTTATACACACAGTCAACTTCGCGAATACAGGAAGAAGCCATCTTTGAAAAATAGTCTCTACCAGTCGATCTACGAATGCCAATCCAAGTGCGCTGAACTGTGCAGAATCTCATATGGTCCGTTGTTTCCGGAAGAAACACAAACACGAACCATTTGCTTCTCTTCAATATGTACACGTAGCCTACTATTCGCGCTCACCCTATCACCTTATTCACATCTCACCAGCGCACTTGGATCGGCGTTCGTAGATCGACTGGTAGAGACTATTTTTCAGAGAGGTTCACACAGACCTCCATGGAATTGACATATGCTCATCTGTATACGTTTCCTCCAAATATCTATTTAGATAACCTAGATGCTTTTAAAATGCCATTCTTCTCACTGGTGAATAACTTCTTTATGAATTTGAATGGGTCTTTATAGAAATTAGCCCTTGCAGTAACATAGTAAAGCACAAGTTAAGTATTTGTTTATCTGTAGTGTGTTGTTCAACATTACATTAATTTAGCATATTTCAATTGTACTAAACTGGTACTTGATAATTGCAAAATGTGTAATTATGAATAGACTATTCTACTAAATAGATGACACAAGTTTCAATAGAAATTACATATTTTAGTAACCATATATGCCTGTCAGTTCATCCAGCAATATAATTTAACCATATTTCAAAGGCAATAAAAGTAATTATGAAACTACATATAAAGATGTAAAATATAAATAATTTAATATAATATAAATAAATAATAATATAAATTTAAATTTAATTGAAATTAACATGCAATAAATCCTGGAAACATAACATTCAGTTTGGACTTAAGTATATTCTTTTAACCCTTATGCTGCATTAGGGACATTTTTGGTCTTTTGCAGTTTAATTTCTTTGACCATTTTGGCTGTTTTAATGCAAATGGTATGAAATTTGGCAAAATTGTGACTTTTTGGATACATGTAAAAAATGTGATCCCATTTTGCAAAATATGTATAACACACACTGTGTAGATCAAATAGTAACACTCAGCACCATAAAGACCAAAAATGGCCCATTGAAACCCATTAAAACGTTGTTTAAATCTGAGGCTGTCAGTAATACATGAAACATGATTTTTGCACAAACATCCTTTCATTTTAAAGCAAAAGCATTTGCATTATATAGTGTATTCCTATGGAAGCTTGTTTCCGCCATTGAATAAAAAATATAATAAAGAATTGTGACTTTTTATCTTACAATTCTGACTTTTTTTCTCACAATTCTGACTTTTTTTCTCACAATTGCGAGTTTATATCTCACAATTCTGACTTTATTTCTCAGAATTGCGTGATATAAAGTCGCAATTGCGAGTTATAAAGTCAGAATTGTGTGTTATAAAGTCAGAATTGCGAGATATAAAGTCAGAATTGCGTGATATAAAGTCAGAATTGTGAGATATAAAGTCGCAATTCTGAGAAAAAAAGACAGAAGTGTGACTTTTTTTCTCACAATTGCGAGTTTACATCTCGCAATTCTGACTTTATAACACATAATTGCGAGTTTATATGTCGAAATTCTGACATCTTTTCTCAGAATTGTGAGATATAAACTCGCAATTGCGACTTATTAGGCCAATTCTTTTTCCCCCATCAGAAGAGTTTAAATCTCACAATTCTGACTTTATATCATGCAATTCTGACTTTAAAACTCGCAATTGCGACTTTATATCACGCAATTCTGACTTTATAACTCGCATTGTGACTTTATATCACGCAATTCTGACTTTATGTCTCGCAATTCTGACTTTATAACTCGCAATTGCGACTTTATATCACGCAATTCTGACTTTTTATCTCGCAATTCTGACTTTATAACTCGCAATTGCGACTTTATATCTCGCAATTCTGACTTTTTATCTCGCAATTGCGACTTTATATCACGCAATTCTGACTTTATATCTCGCAATTCTGACTTTATATCTCGCAATTCTGACTTTATAACTCGCAATTGCGACTTTATATCACGCAATTCGGACTTTTTATCTCGCAATTGTGAGAAAAAAAGTCAGAATTGTGAGATAAAAAGTCGCAATTATTTATTTTATTTTTTTATTCAGTGGCGGAAACAAGCTTCCATAGTATTCCACCAGATGACGTCACTACATATTTATTCCCTATGGGTGGAAATGCACCTTATTTTAGGCAATAGGCAATGTTTAATAGGTGGCCATTTTTGGTCTCTAACGCGCTAAGTGGGATTTTTTGCAAAGTGGGACTGTGATAATCCAAATCTAAAGTTTTCTCTTTGCATTTAGTTTATTGAAAATAATTGATTTTTTGTGTTTTTTCCTCTTATACAAATCGATGGTTTCGCAAACAAAACTGGTAATTAAAGGGTTAAAATCCTGAAATTGAATACATTTTTGGTAGTTATGATGAGGACTGATGCTGGTTAAAAGATTTAACTTGGTAAAAGTGGAAAATAATAATAATATATAATATTTTAGGCAATGTTTAATATGTGGCCATTTTTGGTCCTTAATGCACTCAACGGTGTTAAAAATCTAATGCAGCACAAGGGTTAAAGTATATTAATTCTGTACTATTTTTTTAAACAAAACTATGCTTTTTTTTTTTTTTTTTTTTTTTTGTAAGTATATTTATTGAACATTTTCCAAATTAAACAAAACACAACACGGATTACAACCAAGAGAAGAAGAAGAAGAAGAAGAAGAAGAAGAAGAAAAAAAAAAAAAAAAAAAAAAAAAAAAAAAAAAAAAGGCATAAATGACACCAATCACATTTAACATAGGCCACTTTAAAGTTAAAAAACAAATAAAGGTACAAACAATCTCAGACACAATAAGTACTCACTCAAAAGGCATTTGTGTGGGGAAACCTTTCTGCAGAATTGTTGACAACTCAACCCCGAGATTATTTATATAGGGTTTCCAGATATTATAAAACTGGTCTGGCTGACCATTAACTACACAAGTTAAATATTCCAACGGAATAAGTTCCATTAAAATCTTGTGCCAACCCGATATAGTAGGAGTCTTGTCATTTATCCACCTCAGTAATATGTTTTTCCTAGCAGCAAAAGTAAGAAGATTATATAATCTTTTTTCTTTTGAAAGAATCAAAGCTTTATCAGGCAGACCCAGTATCAAAAATAAAGGATCCAATGTCAACTCCATATTAAAGACACTACTCATTTCAGAAACTATCTTGGCCCAATATATTTGTAACTGATTACAAGACCAAAGACAGTGAGTGAGTGTACCAACTTGTGTCTTACACTTAAGACATAAAGGTG